TGTGTGCTGTAGTTTTGAACATGGCAGCCTGGATCCTAATCTTCTTTGGTCCTCCACAGGCTCTCCTGACCCCTGCCTCCTGTCAGGTGACCGCACAGCAAGCAGCTTGCTATGGGGGCACCCGCTGCTCTATGTGTCCAGTCACACATGTAGCTGCAGCATGGCCTCGCCCCCTCTCTCTCCTCATTGGCTGACTGGCTGTGATTAACAGCAGCTGGAGCCACTGGCTCCCGCTTGCTGTCTCAGCCAACGAGGTGGCAGAGACCCGGGACTGCCGAGGCTGTTGTTCACATCGTTGGATCTTGATGGGGCTCAGGTAAGTATGGGGGCACTGCTGCACATAGAAGGTTTTTTACCTTCATGCGTAGAATGCACGAAGGTAAAAAACCTTGAGCCTTTACAATCACTTTAAACTGGCCATACACTGATGTTTTTGGGTTATTTCGTTCATCCTGCAAAAATGGACAAATCTCTCCCTGGCCTTGTCAGCTGTCAAAATATCTAAACAGTGGCTGCAGCAGTGGCTTTTCAGCTGCCAATTTTCCACTCAGCTCCTTCAATTTATCAATTGAGGGAGGTTGTGCAGGAGGCAGCCACAAGGGCCACCCACTGAACAAATATTCAGTTCCTCAGGAATATCTAGGCCTAAATTAACCTTGACTTTAAAAGTTAAAATGATCTTTTAATAGTCTATAAAGTGGTTGTAAAAAGGTTAAAAAAAAAAAATAAACCATCATCTCTGTGCAGCCTCCCCATCCTTTACACTGCTCAAAAAACTTAAAGGAACACTATGAAAACACATCAGATCTCAATGGGGAAAAATATCATGCTGGATGTCTATACTGATATAACAGGGTAATGTGTTAGGAACATAAGGATTCCCCATAGTTTGATGGAAATGAAAATGATCAAACTACAGAGGACTGAATTCAGAAACCCTGAAAATCAAAGTGAAAAATTATGCAGCAGGCCAGTCCATTTTGGTGAAATTTCATTGCAGAAACTCAAAATGGTACTCAGTAGTTTGTATGGCCCCACGTGCTAGTATGCATGCCTGACAACGTCGGGGCATTCTCCTAAGGAGACGACAAATGAATCGGGGCTGCTTTGTACAAAACCAGTACACAGAGCAGGTAAGTATGATACGTTTGTATTTTTAAAAAAGAAAAAAAATATAAAATTTAGAATCACTTTAACCACTAGCCTACAGGGCAGGGCACTTATACCCCCTTCCTGCCCAGGCCAATTTCCAGCTTTCAGTGCTGTTGCACTTTGAATGACCATTGCGTGGTCATGCAACACCATATGACATTATCATTTTTTTTGTGACAGATAGAACTTTATTTTGGTGGTAATCACCTTTGGGTTTTTTATTTTTTTCTTAAACCAAAAACCACTGAAAATTTTGAAAAAAAAAAAAAATTTCGTTTTTGTCATAAAATTTTGTAAATAAGTGATTTTCTCCTTCACTGATGTGCGTTAATGAGGCTGCAGTGATGGGCACTGATAGGCTGCACTGGTAGGTGGCACTGATGGTCATGGACAGGCATCACTGATGGGCACTGACTGGCACTGTTAGGCAGCACTGATGCACACTCATAGGCGGCACTGACAGGCATTGATAGGTGGCACTGAAAGGCAGCTCAGATGGGCACCGATATGTGGCACTGATGTGGCACTGGCAGATGGCATGGATGAGCACTGAGAGCTGGCACTGATGGACACTGACAGGTGGCGCTGCTGGGGCTACACAGATCATCAGGGCACACTGATCATCAGTGCCCAGATGATCAGTGTACATGTACCCTCCAAGGAATGCCGATTACCAGCTCTCCTCTCCTCACGAGCTGTCAGCGTAACAGCTCGTGGGGAGAGAAATGCCAATAACCGGCATTTCCCTATTTACATGTGATTGGGCACAGCTGATCACATGACCAAGCTATCATCTTTGGCTCTTTCCATGGATCGGTGATCCGCTGTGTCCCTCGCCGATCGCCGCACGCTCCGTGAGCCGCGCATGCGCAGTTAGAATGGGAGGATGTCATATGACGTCCTCCCAGAACGAGAGAACCACCCTGCGTCTGTCATATTACTATATGGAGGGCAGGAGGCGGTTAAGAAAGCTGTTGAAAGAAGGTCTTAAATCCCATAATCTAAAACACACTGAGCTTTAGCTGCCCACAAACCACATAGGAACAAAGAAAAGCGTAAGGTGTGGGTAAGATGAGGGATAGCATGGAAACTAGTAAGGAGTCAATTTTTTTTTTTTTTTTTTTTTTTTTTTTTTTTTTTTATTTCCAATAACAATTTTCACAGGTCATAATAGTATTTAAAGTAAACCTGTCATGACAGAAATATGGATTATGCCATTGCTGACTTCCTGAAAATGCTAGCTAACTGGATGTTTTGCTGATTTTTTGGCTTTGAGTCTCTGACCCATAAGTATGCAGAAAGTCAGACATCCTACATTTACATATACTTTTTTCCAAGTTACTAATGTAGCACCCAATGGGCTCCTTTACATTTCACCCAGCAAGTGCCCACATACTGGACCGTTATCCTCTTTCCCCTGCTTGAGTGGAAACTTCAGGGACAGCAGAGACAATACTGGACTCCAATTGGCTCTTTCTAGAGCTGAAGAGAAACAAGCCCCTAGCCGGGGCAAACAGACATATACTGATTGGCTGGCCAGACAGGAGGCATCTAAATGGCTGTAGCCGCAAGGAAAAGCCCCACCCACCACCTAACTACGGACAGTTTCCAGAGACCTGTGCAGACAGCAAATGTTCCCAGGGGAATAAATAGACACACAGAGGGGAGAATCAGGTTTCACAGGCGGTCATGTGCCCAGAGGAGGAAGCTGAGCAGGGTGCTGTGGACTTAACTGGACCTGGGGCAGAGAGTACCAGGAGCCCAGGGCCACAGACTGTTCCCGGGTGGGTGGCATGTGTCAAAGGGGAAGCAAAGGAAAACAGCCTACTGCCCAAGGGCAGTCTGCTGCTCTAATTGCCTGGAGCCTGTGCATAGGGCTCAGGACTAAGAGACTGCTGCCGTGCTGGAAAAAATGCTGCTGTTCTGGCAAGAGATTTATCCTTGCAATTGTGTAAGATTGTGACCACTGAACCTGGTGACATGGCTGAAAGTGGTGCATGTGTGCAGAAACATTATGGTGGCACAATCTTCTGATGTAATATGACTGGCGCCTGGGGAGAGAGCATAAGCCAGCCATAGAAAGTGTGATTTTCTTTCCTGCAGCCATGGGTTGCAGGAAAGAAAGTTGCTTGATTCAGATTGCATTGATGGGAGAATCCCTCCCACACAGCCATTGTGATCTCCTGGAGAGGGAGCAGGGGAACTCATCCCTGTTAGAAGAACACAGTGATTACTGCTAGTAGCTATAATAGCTGCTGGCAATGATCAAATTGATTCCAAGTTCATCGATTTAGCCTGCCCATACATGGTTCGAATCGCAGCCGATCCCTGCTGAACTGGCTGAAATTTAAACGGCCTATAGCTGGCTTTAATCTGGCAAAAAATTTAACTATTCCCCCATCTACACATTCAACGTGGATGGAGGAATCCCTTCCATTATGCTATTGTGTTCTGTTGGCGGGGAGCCTTCCTGCAATAATCAGTGCTTTTGGCTATAGTAAAGTAGTAAAGTAGGAGTGAATGCACTCAACAATGTAAGGACCCCAATGCCAGCAGCACTGTAATCAAGTAGTTCCCTAGCCAATAGAGTGAGAGCGGGCCTTTGTTTCACTTAGGCCAGGTCTATGCTAGTTATCCAATTGTTGTGCTGTCCCCTTTAGGGGACACAATTGCACTATTAATTCATATGGTTCACTTGCTGGGTTTTTTGTTTTTTTTATAATCTACAGGGCTTTTCTGTTTAAAAAAAAAAATTTACAGCATATTAGGTGCATCATTTGATTCCAGGGAAGGATGGGTCATCACCAACGCAGGGAGAAAGGGACCCAAACAATCCCAGTGGCCACTTCGGGGGTAATGCTACATTAACGAAAAGTACTGACCACAGGAGGCTCAACACCTAAGCTACATAATGATGTTTTTCAGAAGAAGAGGTTAGCGCCCAAGTTTTTTCCTTTTAGGATGTTCATACTTGTCCCAATTTTGGACATATGAATTTCTACCCTAATCAATATAAAATGCAGGTCAAAATGTGTTGTAACGTGTGATGCAAAGCATGATACAACACACACAAAATGCGCCTTTTCATGGATTTACATTGATTTGAATGAAAAATGCACGTAGTCAAAAGTGTGAATGCAGCCGAAGGCTCCATGCAGCTAGCATTTTTTAAGCTCCTAGAAGCTAAATAGTGTTATTCTATGTGTCCATGCACATTACTTTAGACTATTGGCATTTTTTGAGCTTCAGTGTCTAGAAGCAGAAAAAAAAAATTTTTTTTGTACAGTTTTTGGAGCGTTTTTTCCAGCAGCAGAAAAAAAAATTAAAAAAAAGAAACTAAAAATGCTCCTAAATGTTACCAAAACACTACTAAAAAATGCTATTACCAGCATTTTTATCCAGTATTTTCTCCAGCGTTTTGTGAACTTAAACATTAGCATGCATGGAGCCTTAAAGTTATAAAAAAAAAAAAAACCTTTACATTCTACTTTTCTACTAGTGCAACTATATTGTGGAAAGCACAAAATGACAGCAATGAGTAGCCCTGTTTTATACCCATTTTCAAGTGCTAAGAATCCCTTCTGATGTATGGTACTCTGCAGCCATAAAACCAATTAACGGAGATGTTTTTTTATGCACCCAGTTTATGCAAATGTAACATAAATATCTGTTTTTAAGATTCATATGAAAGCCAAGTAAACTCCCCAATGCTTTTCTGGGTTTTTAAAGGCTGTTATCAGCCTTCAGGACTCTGGATGGCCCTACTCTACTTGTATCCTTTATAATAATATCTGAAGCTAAACAGGTATAAACCCCCAACGTCAGTGGCATTACTCATATGAACATACCTGTTCACCTGTTCCAGTCCGAATTTCTTCAGATATCTCAAATACTTCACTCTCCATCTCCACTCCAGAAGCACGGCTTAACTTTACCTTGAGAATACGAAATATGGCTCCTCCTAGATCCAGTACCAAGAAATCGCCAAATTCTAGGAGACAATCACATTTTAGAAAAATATGAGAAAGGAATTGCAACTGCAAACAAAGTACTGATTTTTACAGAGGACGTTAAACCATTTATTTATGTCAGTCACTACCTGATAGATAGGGTTTGTTTCTAGTAAATTGGCAGCACCAATAAACTATGGCCACTCTGATCTGTCTGATATGTCTAGCAGAAAGTTCTGAGCTCCTAATCTGCATCAAGCTGCTTCAGACTGGGAGCATACAGTGGTGCGAATCTATGAGTAGTCAATTGCCTCCACTGGAATGTGAAAGGCAACAAAAGCATGCCCATGTGCTATTTTAGTTACACAATTGGTTGATCTATTGCAGGATATTAGTACATGCTTCAAATCAGTTGCATCAAGAGCAATCACAGCAACATTTTTTTTAGCTCATAGACTGCAATGGGAAGAAGTGATTAAATGCAAGTTGTAGTAACATATAATGCAATGTAATGTAATTTTTGTTTGGGGCCTTGAAAAACACAAGGTGGCGATAACAGCCTTAACAGTAAAACTATAAAAATACTTTTTAGTTAGAACCCTTTAACAGGTTTGCCTGCTTTGCACTAAGATTGCACATTGTGAGCTGCATTGTCCTTCAGAAAAAAAATAGTTGAGTGGCAGTAAAAACTTTATCAAGGAGCTGAAGCCATAAACAGCAAAATGACAGTTACAGCCTGCACTAGAATATATATGATTAAAAAAAAAAAAAAAAAAGGGAAGATACTGCTCAGCCTTTAACCTTTGACATACATTTTAAACAAATAAAAACATACAGTTTAAAAAAAAAAAAAAAAAAGTTTATTAATGCATTTGCATGAACTTGTGCTATGAACAGTGACTTTCATGTGCCCGGCCTTAATGTGTAACTAAAAGGCAAAACTTTTTTTTTTCCATTTTAGTATAAGGAGGTCAGTTGTCTTCTGTGTCCCATTGGGGACATATCCCTTCACTTCGTGTGCCATAGCAGTACACGAGGAAATCCCTTTAAAGCAAAGTTCCGACATGAGAAATGTTCCCGTATACAGGTCCAAAATGCTAAGGCAGCTCAAAATGCCTGTTCACGCCAGAAAGTGGTGCAGGAAACCCTGGTTCTGTGTGCGTTCCCCCGAACTGTGTTCAAAACGCACTGAAGTTGTGATCTGCATCGGGTGTCAATGTTAGGATACCAACACCCCAAACGCAAGTTGCAAAAGCAGTGCGTTTGTGTGCACTGGATCATATGGTACAGAAGTACTATGTGATCCTGTTGGAGTGCATTTTTTTAAATAATTTTGGTGCAGGCCAGGGTGATTCATCCCATTCAAAACAAACAAACTCAAATTGCACAGCATATGAATCGCACAGGAACCCCCCGGGGTGAACCAGACAAAACTGTTCCTTCTTTTCTGAAGTGATCACTCAAAGAAGAACTCTGGGACAGACAAAAAAAATCACCCATTTTTACACCCCCCCCCACTAAACAGTTTTTTTGTAAATCCTTACCATTTAGAAGAAATGTCCAATTAAATTATCAATTCAAAAGAGAGCAAGCACCTACTCTGCCAAGGAGGAGGTGTAACAGCAGGGATTACATCATATCCTCCCCTCTCTCTCTCAGCAGAGAAAGGAAACTACAGTTTCCCTCAATCACAGGGAATTGTAATGCATGCGCGTGGGTACACTGGGCCTGTACATGTTGAATGTGTCTGAGAGTCTCGGTCTGCCCACCACTGCAAGTGGGGCCGAATTACATCACTGGTTCCTGGAGAAAGAAATACAGGAGGGATGTGCCAAGACCAGTGGCTGGGGGAATAGGAGGTATAGTATCCTTAGGTCTTACAAACAGGAAACCAAAGAGAATTAAAAGAGGTAGGGATTTTTTTCCCCTCCCTATTCATACTTACCTAGGTGGATGCAGCATCGGTCCGATGCTGCATCTTTCTCCCCTGCTGGCTCCAGGGGTGAGAACTCTGCGATAAACATGATCATTGATCGCGGAGTTCTCCTCTCCACTCTGAGCATTGCTCTGCTTCCCCCCCCCCCAGTGCTCACTAGAGCGTTGGGCTGTCGAAGGGGAAGAAGCGGCTGGCTCAAGCTCTCAGCTGCTTGCCAAGAGGCTGAGCCATGTGCTACTCCAGACTCTGGGGTGAATCCCGACTTTAAAGTCGGGATCTTTCCCCCAGCCTGGACTGGTTGAGTGACGTCAGACAACAGTGGGCTTTAGCCAGCTGTCAGCTTAAAATGGGTCACAGGAGTGCAGAACGAACTGCACTCCTGTGATCCACAGGACAAGTACAGCCAAAAAAGCTTTGGCTGTACTTCTCATTTAATTTGAAAATTAATAGGCTATTACAGAGTGAACCAGAAGATGGATGAGATATTCAGTGTAGGTAGGAAATCAGCAACAAGGACACGTAAATACGTTTTTGCCAGGGGTTCTGCTTTAAGTAACGAGCAGGACAAGGCATTAGCACTTAACATTCTATAGCCACAAGATACACTCCTATACTCATATCTATAATGAACACGGATAAGGCACATTACACAGTATATATTAATAGGCCAACTCCACCTTTGAGAAGGGACATGTAACATGCTTACACCCTCCCCAAATAGCATGCAGAGGTTCTTGTCCCCCAAAGCAACTGTCCCTTTTGAATTGCACACCAATGTATGGGGCTCTGCTTGCACAGCTGCACCATTCATTCAGAGATCTGTGAATAAATTAACCACAATTCCCATATTCCACCATTGCAGACAGACTTCAATGGAACAGTGCAGGGGTTACCACACTCATAGCCCAATGACACTTTCTCCATCTCAGTAACCTAAAGTCCATACCTCAGTATGATTAAAGAGCCAAATTAAAAATAAGTCTGCAGGAGTCTGTGTATTGCACCCACAATCTAATGATCGCAAAGCTTTGCAAGCGCATTTGCAAAAAAAAAAAAAAAAAAAAAAAAAATTTAAAATATATAACTATTAATAATAAATAATGTACTTTTTTGCTGCAATTATAGATGTAATTTATTATTGTTTTTTTTTCAAAAAGGTGGGCAAAGTATAACCTACGTCAAACATGATATAAATTTCAACAAAGAATCAATCGCATACTGGCACAAAGACACAATTCATCATACAGCAAAAGAAAAGGGGAAATAAACTAAGCAATATCTTGCCAAACTTCCTGAAAATGTTCAGTAAATGCAGAGTAATGTTGAAAGGTTACAGCTAGTTTACTACAAATCATCCAGTCCGCAGTTGTTCTAGGAATTACTAAGCACACAACCAAGAGCAACAACATACAAGTACAAACCCACCACTCACAGAACCAACAGGGGCAGGTTACATTTTCCACCCCACAAGAATGTTTACCCTTAGGTAATTACTGCATGTGATCCAGCTGATGTTTAACCCCAAGCTTGCTAAATTATACTAGATTCTTAGGGCCAGTTCACAGCATGAATCACACAGAAACACGCCATGCGTTTCTGTGCATTTCCCATGTGATCCAGTTGCAGTGCGATTTCAGCCCACTCATTTGACTGCACTACTTTAGGCTCAGTTCACACTACTGTGATGAGATTTTGACTTGATTTGCAGTTAGGGTTGCCACCTCATCCCTTTAAACCTGAACACATATTAATTACACAGGTTCTGTGTCTGATTAAGGTGGTAATTAAACTCACTTTCTGCCTTATCTGCATTAAGTTAGCCTCAGAACCTGTGTAATTAATATGTGTTCGGGTTTAAAGGAATGAAGTGGCAACCCTACCTGCAGTGTGATTATGTAATGCAACTGTGGTTGCATTTTGGATGTGGTTTATATTCTATGGGGTTGCACTGTAAATAGCACAAAAGTAGTACAGGATCCTTTCCAAAAGTCACATCACAGCTGCGCTGCATTAATACGAATAAGCATCACTGGAAGCAATGTTATTTCCATTGTCATACAATTCAGTGAGACCCAGGTCGCATCTGAAATTGCAAACCAGGAAAGTGTGAACCAGGCCTACTAGTGTACCATGCAATCTGGTGCTGGCAAATGCACTGTTTTTGCGACCTGCATTTGGGGTGTCAGTAAGTTAACAATGACATTTGCTGCAGATCGCAACTGCAGTGCGTTTTTTTTTTCAGGAAATGTGCATGGAACACGGGTTTTCTGGTGTAAACCTGCCCTAAATCAATTTGATGATCATGTAAGAGTCTGTATTCCTGAAATCCACAGGAATGCTGAAGGAGTAGGGTAGCAAACATAACATACTAACGGGCACATGGAAGCTGGCACCTCAGCTCTGACTGTTTATCTTGAAGGTTTGTGGATTCCACATTTTTACATTAACAGAATGATCAGCAGGAGCAGTGTCACATATGAAACAGTTAAACCTTCCAGTCTAGATTTTGGGCTCACCCATACTGGTATGTTGTAGTAATGCATAATATATTACAAAACATACAAAACAACGATTTACCGTGCATTACTGCAAGAGACCTTATTGTACAATACAATGCACTTTGTATTATGGTGCCATTCATAGAAATGACCTTCCAATACACTTGTATAGTAGTTGTCAACACACCTGCAATAGATTGTAGAGGCACCTTATCAGCTACTACAGGTGTGTTGGGGTACCAATCTAAATAAGAAATACCACAACACTAAGAACATTGTTACTTATTACCCTCAAATACCCTTCTCTTTGGAGGTTTAAAGTACATACAGACTTCTGTGTCTCAGTCTAAACAGGTCTGTGTCAAATTTTTAAGTCTCATAAATTAAATCAAAATTATTTTACCTCCCTTGAGTCAGCCAAATCCTCCTTCATTTGTGATTCACACGATACCCTTCCCAGACACTGCAGCTCACAATGGGAGAGTTTTAGTAGCATAGTCAGTTCTGCCAATCTAGAAAACAGTGGGCAGGGCTAGGTGTGAAAAGCTACAGACTTATGAATCAGCTGTAACAATGCTAAACAGTTCTGGACAAGGCCATCTAGTGC